TTTTGTAATAATTTTGCATTGCATACATTGTAATTTTCAATTTCGTGTGTTGACTTAAAATAAAATTCTATTATGCTGTAATACGTGTCAAGTACCCGTTGAGAGAGAGAGAGAGAGGTGACTCGTGAAAATTGGTTTCCCGCTATTTAAATTGAGTATTGAGCACCTCGTCTACTGTGTGCGTCCTAGGCGCGTGTGTTACCCTCCTTTATAACGACGGGCAAAAAATAAACCGGGCCCATTCAAAATATTCAGGGTATGAATAACCATTTCGATCCTGCCGTCGAGGGCAAATTAAAGTTGGACGGTAGGCGAAGATTTCTTTCAGCTCTTCTCACAGGCTTACTGAGTTTTTGAGCCATTTTCAATGTGTGAAACCATTCCCCCTACAACCCGACTCCCAAATGCAAAATTATCGTCATAACATGGAGCTGCCAGATTTGCTATATAAATGTTATATTTGAATACTTCTTGCGCAATTCTTATTATATCAAGGTACGGAAATAACCATATAGGCTTTGAAGATTATTGAAAGAGAGAGCGAGAGAGTGAGATAGAATAAAAAAGAGTGCAAAGAATGGGAGCAAAAGCGAGTAGGGTTGAGAAGAGTGAGTGAGTGAGTGAGNAGAGAGAATAAAAAAGGAGTGCCCATTGCCAAGAATGGGAGCAAGGGAGCAAAACCGAGTAGGGGTGAGAAGAGTGAGTGAGTGAGTGTGAGAGAGAGAGAGAAAGTGACAGAGTGACGTAATGATTTTATTTATCCGTTAACGTAGTCAAGTAATGAGGAGGAGTGTGTGAGGGGAAAGAATGAATATAGTTTCATTTAAATAATAGATTAAATAAATAATTTAAATAATAGACAGATAGAGAGAGAGAGAGAGAGAGAGAGAGAGAGAGAGAGAGAGAGAGAGAGAGAGAGAGAGAGAATAATATACTACATATAATCAATATTAACTAAAAAACATTAGAGTGAGATGATGAGATGTGCAACTGTGTCAAGATTGATTACCTCCAGTAGCTACTGATTTTATTTAAGAGAAATTCGAGCCGGACAGCTTATTCTCCAGCGAGGAGGATCGGCCCGGGCCATTGGAGAAGAAAAGTGGTGTAAAAAAGGGACATCTCGAGAGGAGGCACGTGCCCACACTTTTGTGGACCGGCGATAAAAAAAAGCGCCCTGTTGAAGATGGCCCTCGCGATAAGGCCGCTATAAAACCTCGTTGACCTAATGACCGCACATAAATTTTTCTCTTTTCAAAGCGTACATGTTCATCACCTTTTTGGATTTATTTCGATTGAAATAAATGAAATGACTGCCTGGTAAAAGGCAGGAACCTCCTCCTCCCACGAAACACGGAACAGAAATACTCGGGCCACGTGAAAACCGCGACTTAACGTAAAATATTGCTTATTTGGAGTGAAATATCACTCCTTACCTTCGGGTATTTGCCGGGTCGTCGTAAAGTCAAAGAAAAATAACAAACCAATCCGACCCACCGTAAAATGTAGGTGAGAAGCTCTTAGTGTCAAGCATGTGTCGGAGGGATGGCGAAGGATGAAGGAGAACCCATTCCAGGTGGGCACTAAATCAAACCAAAGAGAAAGACAAGAGAATGAGAAAACCGGAGAACTTAAAGGCCACTAACCCACTCCTGGTTTGGCTCAGAGGGATATCGCTTATGCCTTTCAAACAATTCACCTCTAACTCCACCCTCGCCGAGCCTTAGGGGGTCATCCTTGTTTAGCCTTTTAAATCCGAACCTCTTCCATATTCAACAGTTTAAATAAATAATCTCTCATATTTCCAAAGCTTCGTATTTTAAAATTGGACTTCTCTCGCTTTAACCTTTTTTTGAATTATTTAAATGAAAATATTTGATTTTCGAAAACATTCAATAATTCCTTGTAAAAAGTATTACATAATATTACAAGAAAACCCATTCATTTTAAAAAATTATGAATGTTTCGGCATTTTACCAGATTTAGTAGTTGATCAGGGTTATAAGCAGGGCAAGTAAAGTCATCAAACGCACCAATGTATAATTTGCGCCAAAACGTGTCTAACATACCGACCAGACTAACCTTGTTTTTAAAATTTGTTCGTTACCGTTCATCTGCTTATTCTCGCTGGGCAGGGTTATAAACAAGGCGAGGAAAGCCAACAACTGCATGATATAGTAGGATGATCCTGAATGTGTTTGAGATACCGACAAAACTACCCCAGTTTTTGGGATTTGGTCGTAACCAATCATTTTCGGGTGCCTGTCTGAGTTGGTCTGGGTTATAAGTAGAGTATGAAAAACAAAATATAAAATCACTATATACAATAAGTAGGATTTGATCTCTTTTTTTTTTTTTTTTTTTAACAGAGGTCATATAAACCCTCAGGGTGCCGGTGTTTTTGAAAAAAAGCCCATTTGTAAGTAGGTAGGGGTTCGAATGCAGGGCCGCTGGATTCGAACCCGGGACCTTTACCTTACAGTGATGAGCGCCGTGTCAAAGACTAAACCGTTGCGGCCACCGACGCCCCCTTGATCTCTTATTGTCATCAACGATTGTTGAATAATCTATATAACTTAATAATTGACTAACTACCTCGGATCATAATTAAAATACATATTGGAATACACAATTTTTGAAAAGGAATGTAGCAAATAGATTAAAATATTTTTTCAGCAAAAACCAAAATTGACATTAATTTTTTGCAACATCAAAAGTCCAGGAATACAAAATCCTTGGGAAAAATTAAAAAAAAAACTTTTTTTCTATAGATTTTCCGCCTTCGTCTTGGATTTTCTTTTCGAAAATCGACAAAATGATACTTTTAAAACGACCTTACAGATAAACAGGAAACTTTACACGGATTAACAAGCGTATAAACTACACGTAATGGTATAAACCGGTATCCGTAAACAATAAAACTGAAGAAATAAAATTTTCTTTATCGTGCCAACGTTTCGATCTTTATTGAGATCATCTTCAGAGCTCAAAGTGTTTGTTTTCTGTGAGATGAGTCATTATTTTGTGTCGTGTTGAGAGTGCCCACATAAATAATTGCATAATAACACCACGTATGGGGGGCATCGGTGGCCGCAAGGTTTAGTCCAGCTGCCCTGCATTCGAACCCGACATACTTACAAATGGGCATTTTTTTAAAAAACACCGGCACCCTGAGGGTTTATATGACCTCTGCTGTTGCGAACCCTCGTAAAAAAAATAAAAAAATAAAACCACGCATAAATAATTGCATACCACGACCAAACTGTACGTTCATCCCTCCTCAGGGCTCAATGTAAACGGCTAAATATAACTAATATACCGTGATGATGGCGAAATACCGAAGCTAGTCGAAACGACGGAAGCCCAGGTTTATCACTCCACAGACCTCAGAAGAAATTACATAATGTTAAACCACGTTTCGGTCAGAGCATCTTTTTTTTGGGTTCATCAACTTTACCCTTGTTTCTTGTATGTAAACATAAATGTTTTATGTGTGGAATGTGATGATTGTTTTAATTTTATATTACATAGAAATACTTTAATTGAATATAAAAAATATATTTATTTGCATTGTATAAATTCACATTTTTTTCCACATCCTACATGTATTTGTAAAATGTTAATAAATCCCAGGCCCTGAAGATGATCTCAATAAAGATCGAAACGTGGCACGATAAAGAAAATGTTTTTCTAAAACCTACTTCACACCAGCCCGCACCTCACGATCTGCAAATAATTAGTTATACCGTGATTTCATTCACATTTATTTTACATGAAATTATAAGAACGTCAATTTTTCCTTCGAATTGTCGATCCGTTAACACCAGCCGGGATATACATTACGGAAAAAAATAGATTCATTTATCCTCCAGTCGGGAGGGGATCAGTGCAAAATTCCGCAGGGCCCGTTTATAAATATATATTAAAAAAAGAAGGAAAATTGCCTCCTGAAGCCAGGGATTAACTAGATTTACTAGGGTGGATAGTAAAATTCCAATACTTTCCCAAGGCGGCACTTTTCACCTGAACCACCACCCTTTAGCACCTCAAATCCCGCGACAATAAAAGTCCCGGATAATTTGTAATTTGTTGGAAACGTTCCGCCGAGTTTAAGAAACCTTGATAGCCGGGTTTCACTGAATTCGTTATCCGGGTAAAAGAAAATTTGCCACATCTGTATAAAACATCAAGGAATAATGCAATTTTGACATCCTTTGTTCCAACCCAGTAGTAATTTCCTTCTTTCAACCAGAAAGGGAAAGGTAAATGTAAATTTTTATCATTTGACGCTTTTACTATTAAAAATTCAAATTTATGATAACGTTTCATTATGATAAAATTTGGACATAGTATCTTTCTATTTATTTTCTATCAATTTTGATATATGTAAAGTGAGTTCATTGCATCAAACCAAATTTCGGTAACCTTTCATAGTTATTTGTCAAATTAACCCCTGTCTGCAAAGCATTAAAAAAAACTTAGGAGATAGCATAAAATATAAACATATACAGTAAAATTCCTGTGGGTTTGGGGATTTCAATTTTTTAATATACAATAATTGGGCTTGCTCTTAGAAGACCATATACTTATAATTAAAAATATAAGATTCGTCTTTCGATTAGAATATTTTAAAATATATGGTTTATAATCTAAGATACCATATGAAAATTAATTATAATTAAAATATAGTTATATAAAATATTTATATTTGTATTTTAAAAAATTATTCTTCTATTAATTTCAGATTTTGTCAAAGAAAATAATCGTATTTTTAAAAATCTACAATTAATAAGAGAAGAATATTTATTTAGTTATATCACTTTTATTTTTAATTGTAATTAATTTCCATTTGATTTATTAGTGACCAATTATTTTATAATAATTTGTAACGAGTCTCCAATGAATAGAAGAATCATTTGTTATTAAAGTTCATTTTTTAACTTTATAAAACTTGATTTTATTCAATTAATTAAGGTTTTAAGTTGAGATAAAAAAGTCAGTGTCACGAGCGGGATTCGAACCCACGACCTTCGGCTTGTTATGCCGCTACTCGACCACTTGAGCTATCGTGACACTGACTTTTTTTATCTCAACTTAAAACCTTAATTAATTGAATGATATTAATTGGTCAAGCGGACCACGAAAAATAGTGAACTTAATTTTATTTGTAATTAATGTTTATCCATTATATTTAGTGGTCTATTGGCCGAATTACTTCTTTCAATTAATTGATCTTTTTATCTAAGATTTTGGTTGAAATGGAAAAGATAGCGCCACGAGTGCGATTCGAACCCACGGCCGCCGGCTCAATACGCTGCTACTCTAAACACTTGAGCTATCATGACTTCGATCCACTCGGACACCAACTCCCCATCTCAACCTACAACCTTTCGAATTTGGTTGAAAAATGGTAAAAAGAGGGAAGGTTCGAAAGGGCATCACAGTGCGACCTAATATCTTCTAGTTATCTTAGGAGAGATATTTAATTTAAACAATTAATTCAATATATCAGGATATCGGAAACCTTCATTTGCGACGTTCTACCTAACAAATCTCAAAAGTTCCGCCTACGCCCGAAAAAAAAATTCGATAGCTGCATTTTAGTAGTATCATGAAATATAATATTATGAGAACTTCGGAATTTTATCTCCCCAATTAATCCTTCGGTCCAAACACATTCCTAATTTTGAGGTTGCGTCGAGCTCCCTGACGCCGATAATTATCTGCAAGCCTTCCGATGGAATTCTTGTTTGCTACCAATTACAAAGCAAAACGTAAATGAGTAAACAGATAAAATATGTATTGCATACTTGAATAACTCATAAATTCAAACCTTAAAGGCTTTAAAGCACGAGCATTCTTTATTTATTTATATACGGATATAATCCTTGTACAAAAGGATATAAATGTATTACAAGTAATTACACATAAAAAGAGCTCATCATACTAACAATATTCATACTAATAAACATTACTATGGTTACACATTACATGGTTTTACTTGCAATAATCTTTATATGGATATAAGATAAAGAAAAACAATTCAAGATTACTTGAGCGAATTGTGAAGTTGGTTCAGAAAAATATTAATAGAGGAATTTAATAATTGTAAGTGAGGGATGTCAATTGCAGAGCACATTATTCTGTATAGCGATGGGATCCCTCAAAGAAGCCGTACGTTAATTATTAGGGACCATGGTAACAATGAGCGGTAGATAGTGTTAGAGACTTGGGTGTATCCTGCAAAGGTGAGGTTGCCCCTAGGCATGTACTTTTCTGTCAATCCAATTCCCGGGACTATGTAGTGGGTGCTCCTAGGAGACTCCAACAGACCTTTCCCAACCCTTGGCTGGTAGGGCGAAGGGTTCAGGCACAAAATTGGCCTTGAGAACGTGACGCACTCTCTAAAGCACAAGCTGTATTCATGTTTCCTGGCGCGCATGATCTCTTTAAGCACCCTCCGCGTGCATTAGGAAGATAAGACGAAGGAAGCGTATAACACGCGAGGATGCAAAGACTACGCCTACCCTCGAAATGCGTTAAGGGAGTTGTTGGCTTACAAGCTGGCCGCGGAAGGCGGTGCTAGATCCGAGGGTTAGGGTGCCAGATCCTGTCTGAATAGGGGATGCACGGAGGAGGGTGCATAACCAGCTGTACGACGGGATAGCACAGTGTCTTCAGTTCCGAGCCCAGTAGCGTGTTATGTGGAATGGATTCGTCGTGGCCGTAAGTGAGACCTCTGGCGGGTACTTAGAGAAGAGCCTGTTGTTCAGTGGTGTTCGCTTTAATGAAGGCAGGTTCCTCTAGGGGGTGGTTAGAAATTTCACTTTAATCGAAACCGTGGCCGGAGCGGATCCGGTAGTTTCGACCTTGGCGAGACCTCTACGCTCAGGGAGTTAGAGTTGTCTCTATCTAAGGAACGCGTTGGGAGACATGCTGATGCATTTCGGCTCTTTCGTGTATCCCTTTACGCGCGGCACACGGTTAAGTGCACAATGTTGATCCACCCCTTCGAACTGGGCAAATAGGAGAAGTCGGTATGTCTGTTTGATTAGTCTGTGGATGTGGTTGCTTCTACACCGAACCTCACGGTGTTTACAATATCTACCGTGAGCGGAGGTGAGTCGCTCCTAACTTGAGAAATTAAACGTAGGATAAGGCCTATGTGCCAGGTGCGCACGTTAAAGAACCTCATTGACAAAGACATTGCGACCCCCAATGGAAATCATACCTGTCAAGCGTTGGGCTTTTGCCATAGGTAATACGGTGGCGTGGAATATAGAAAGGTCTTATGCTTTCTAAGCTGATAAGGATTAGTGGAGAAGTTGAACTTTAGATAAAAAGAATAATTAATTAGACTTATTACAAATGTTGGAAAGCTTATTGCTTTTTCTTTGAGCTTTGGTTTTTATAAAATTGTAAGTGAGAAAAATAACGATGAAATCAACAAAATAACGCGAGACATTTGATTTTATTTATTCTATATTATTCTATTGTTTACGGATACCCGGTTTATACCATTACGTATAGTTTATACGCTTGTAAATCCTTGTAAAGTTTCCTGTTTATCTGTAAGGTCGTTTTAAAGTTATCATTTTGTCGATTTTCGAACAGAAATCCAAGACGAAGATGAAAAATCTATAGAAAAAAAGTTTTTTTTTATTTTTCCCAATTTGTATTCCTGGGCTTTTGATGTTGAAAAAAATTAACGTCAACTTTGTTTTTGCTGAAGAAATATTTTAACCTATTTGCTACATTCCTTTTCAAAAATTGTGCCAATATGTATTTTAATTATGATCCGAGGTATGTAGTCTCCCCATTGTTAGTCAATTATTAAGTTATATAGATTATTCAACAATCATGAGATGCAGTCTGGTGTGATGTAAGTTTCAGAAAAACATTTTCTTTATCGTGCCCACGTTTCGACCTTATTGAGCCCTGAAGATGATCTCAATAAAGATCGAAACGTGGCACGATAAAGAAAATGTTTTCTGAAACCTACATCACACCAGAGCGCATCTCACGATTTTTGAATAATTATCAATTAACGGTCACTAATCACCACACTTTAAGTTATATGTAGATTAACCAAATACAAACAATTTTTATCGACATTCTCTGTAAATAGGAGTGTCACAAGGGTAAGTACTATAGCCGGTTCTATTATTAACACTAACGTCTATTAGTCGAGGAAAATACCACGGGAACGTTCTTTTATAATATAATTATGGTATAAATATACTGAATCTACTGAACGGTAAACAGAACACCCAATAACCTAAATCAATAAATTGACAGTTAATAGAGAATAAAGCCGAATGAAAATCTGTACATTTGGACTGATCAGAATAATTATGATCTGCCCTGGATGTTTCCAGTAAAGTAGGTCAAAACGTTTTTTTTTGTGGTAAAATCCCAAAATTCGGATTTATTTTAAGCACCCTTTTACACGCTCAGCTAGGAATTTCCATTGCAAAAACTAATAGACATTTTCTAGTTCAAAAATCCGTTTTTTGTTTTTGTTTAGAATTACAGTTCCTATTTTGGGGATTAAAAGGTGAATAGGTTTTGACTTACTTTACTTGCAATTCCGTTTTTTTATCCTTTTATTTGTCTAATAGTAAGACCCATTTTACGTTCGGATTTGTGACTTTTGGTGTTTTTTCAACATTAATGCTTAGTTAAAATTAATCTATATTTGTTTAGTGGTCATAATTGATCATATTACTTATTCCAATTAATTGTTCTTTTTATCTAAGATTTTTGGTTGAGATGAAGAAATAGTGTCACGAGCGGGATTTGATCCATCCACCTTCGGCTCAATACGCCGCTCTCTACTAACAACTTGAACCTTAAACTTAAAAATATGGCAAAAGAGGGAAAATTCGATCAGTTGTAGGTTGAGACGAGTTGGTGTCCGAGGAGATCGAAGCTCAATCGATAGTTCAAGTGGTTAGAGCAGCGGCGTATTGAACAAAAAAAATCGTGGGTTCGAATCCCGCTCGTGACACTAACTTTTTCATCTCAACCAAAAACCTTAGATAAAAATAATAATTTATTGGAAATAAATTAAAATACAGTCGGATCAATAATAAAAAATAATTTTATTTCTTTGCTCCGCTATGGGAGCCAAGAACCTTCGTGGACGATGCTAATGTAGGACCATCCTTTGTTGTAACAACCACCGATGTTTGAATGTTAATTTCACTATAATGAGTGTGGTCCTGACATCCCCATCGCTCTTGGCATTTGTACCGCTGTTGGCGAAAATGTTCTACTCTGCTGGGTTCCGGAATAAGCTTGTGGAATTGCCGCCCTCAGGCAGGTTAACCGTGGCCAATTTTGACGTCGACGTTTCACTTTGCATTGTGTCATGTTCTCATCTGCCCCCTAGCTCAAAATCGCTCCTTTGGGAATGGGTCGGAACTGCGAGCCGGCGGAAAAAAGGCCTACGTTCACGTCGCCACATGAAATTGGTTAAGCATCGAGTGATACTGTGCTCAGTGTGCAGTGTGTTTCAACCGTCGAGTAAATCGTCACCGCCGGCGGTTATTATGCTTTTAAAAAACGAGGAAAAATCTCTTCTTTTTTTTCGTTCGCCTGTCGGCGGGAATTATAGCGTTTTTTTCCATATTTTTTCCCAAGGGCCAGCCGGGGGAAGAGCGGGATCGGCCCGGGAGGATAAAGGTAATTGAGGAATAGACCCGGCAATCATGCTACTACCGATTTGTGACCGGCTGAAAAGGTCTCCCGGCGCGACCGCACGGTCAAGTCACGTCACCACGCTTTAAAAAAAATAATAAAAAAACTATAATTATAGCATTCATCTCCGGTTGTGTTTCCGGAATTTTCGCACCGTCGATGTCTCGGATTCCTCAGTGGCCCTGTGTCGCCAGTGACCGCAAACTGACAATGAAAACATTAAAAAACTGAGTGCTTCGAAAATCATCGATTGGGCAATTGAATATATGCACAGCAAGGGTTTCAGTAGAAAAAAAAAGGATCTGCATTTTTATGATGGTATGGTATGGCAATGAGGATAATAGGAAGCGGGGTTTGTGCTCCCATGAAAT